TCATAAAGTCACATGCTGTCCTCAGGTCTTTTCTACACTGTAATTTCAAGATTTAAAAAAGCCCAATGAGCAATAAATATTGCTTTTCTCCAATAAAAGAGCAGCGGGGCTCGCAGAACCTTAACGTGGTGTTAAGATAGCAGGAACCACACAGCATTTTGTACATTTTTTACAGGTAAAAAAATTTACTTATATATTATGCTGACTATATGTATATGTTTCCGTTCACATGTATCTGTTTGTAAATTTAAATTTCCATGAATAAACATCTGATAAATTTGAGCTTTTCTATAAAACAGACCGGTAATGATGTCATAAAACTGACATCCTGTGCTCCGGAATGTTCTCTTTCTGTAGTATTATTACTCATGCAGTTTTTTCTTCTTTTTGAGGAGGGGGGGGGGGTGGTTTGGACTGTTCATCTGCGCTTATTTTCCAGTTTCATGCACCGGAGTCCTTCTTCGCTGCCAGACGGTCTTTCCTCGTTAGTGGTGGCTGTCGCACTTCGTTCAGCAGGCTGCATTATGCTGGCTCCTCAACCAACACAAACACATTATACGCATTATAGTAGTAATCACACCACTCTGTCTGGGGTATATAAAAAAAAGACCATGGAAACTGAACAGGAGTCAAGAATTAGGGCTGAGATTATGTAGATTGTAAATGATCCCTGGAGGAAAAATGCTAAAAAAGGCTTGTGGAAAAGAGCAGCGTTTCAAGGCCGTGAATGGTCATTATGTTTATGTGTGAAGTCTTCTCCAGCACAGCGGCGAAACAGCAGCACCTAAAGAGCTCAGGCTGAGCGGCGGGGACGCTGCACGTCAAAAAATGCGATTCCCCATCCAGACCCAGCCCCCTGGGGCATTCTCTATAAAATTTAATACCAGTAATTAAAAGTAGGTGCATGCTGTCACCACCATTTAGATGAATTTGGTGTAAAATCCTCGTAACAGCCCATACAGCCATTTTTTCCCCACAAATCTGAGAATGCGTGGAATTCATGAAGAAAAAATTAGCATTTTTGTCTCTGCAAAAAACAATTGTAGGTTGAACTGAGGATTTCAATTCTTTTGACAAAACTTTTGGAAAATGGAATTATTTTTTTGTTTATTTTTAAGTGTCCATCAATAACGACTGAATTAATAATGATGAATAATAATGATTCATTAAAAGTAGACCATGACAAAACTAATGTTTCTAAATCAATTATAATCAACTTCAATAAAAATGTGGCATATGGCAGTGGCTTGGTTATAATGTTTGATTTTTGTAGCTTGGACTTGTTTTCATATATTTTCTTTGTTATGAATTGTTTTTGGGCCATTTAGACAAAAAAAAAAACTTTCTCTAAACGGTTTCC